GGGGGGGGGGGTTAAGTTATGGGGCTTGCCAAGACATTTCACACCTGCTCCGTGATGGATCACACAGCCCCCACCCCACCCAGAAAAAGGGGCATTTTGGACATGAACTTCTCCCATGATGAATGGGCTCCTTTGTACTGGGATAAAGGGGCAGCACACGGAACTGATCTGATTGCTGGAGGTAAATTAAGGAGGAGCCCCCTTGCCGTCTTAAAATGCGACACCCCCTTCTGACACCCGGAGACTGAAATGGGACTCCCTGATGCCTTTGGGGAGGGAAGGGGGTGTGCGAGATCCTTAAATATCTATACAGGCTACATGCTCCCCATCATAAGCAGCAAGATCCACAACTGGGCGAGAGACGGCCAATGGGAACGCAGCGCCAGGCGCTCACCTGGGCAGCCATGTCCACAAGCTGGGGGAGCTTCAGGAAGCGGCCGTCTCCCTCCTTCAGGAAGTCCAGCAAGCTCCCTGAAAGTCACAAGAGGCGTGAGGCACGTTCCAAAGGGCAAGAGCTCATTTTCTGCACCGCCTGTATCGTCGGTTGTTACACTTTATAGTTTATTGTTATCAATCAGTAGTACCCTGTAAATGTTACACTCAGTAATAGAAAATGTTTAAATGATCTTCATGTTGGTTTAAAACTATAAAATTAAGCCTGTTAAAATGTGTCAGCTTAGCTGTCCCAAAGCCCCTCCCAAAGCCACTGCCCAATGTACTCTTGTTTTTTTGTCTCGACCTCTCGAATATCGTGTTCGGCTAATCAATACCCCGTTGTTATTTAACAAAGCAGGTTAATTAACTGAGCTGGTGGAGAAGCTTAACTGATACATAGAATAACTGAGGCTGCCCTACGGAGAGCTTTGGGAACCAAAGCAGAGTTTATGCATCAATGTAACCCGCCTATCTACCGGTATCCATAGAGACACAGTGTCGGTGAGAATATCGCTCTGTCACCCTGACACTACCTGTGACCGCAGTCTCCTGTCCCTGGTCCGTGCAAATAATGCTATTCACGAGCCTGGACACGCACGCTTAAGAAAGCCAGAGCTGACGGCAACTGGACCATTCAATTCAGATACCGCCCTTCCGGGCCAAAAAGCTATAAAAAAAAAATAAAAAAAAAAATAAAAAAAAAAAATTAAAAGGGATTCCCAACGACATCCCAAAAGTGCCACGCTTTAATTAAAGTTTTGCTAATTAAAAAGGGGGGAAAAAAAGAGCAGAAAGATGACTTGATGTCAGGAGGACGACTTCAATGTCAGGGAAACTCAGGAATCGCTCAGAAAGGCTTTTCCTGTAGCTGCCGTTTCTGAGTGCTGATCCCGCGCTTTAACACACGCTGACAGTTTAGTTTCATTTATGCAGCTAAAGCTACTCCTTCCAGAACATTCCAACGGTGTGTGAGATTAAGTGAATTATGGGGGGCACATCCTGAAAAACAGAGAAAGGCTCAGGGCAACCTCAAACGGTAAGGTAGCGGCCAGACAGATTCCCCAGTATACAAAAGGAATCCTTCTTGAATCGATGGGTTCATACATTGAACCATCATCGAGTCCCCTATGCTATTAACTAGCCTGCATCCAAGTGTCTGAACAACTTCAAGGCCGAGGAGCTCTAGCTCATGAAAATGAACGTAACATATGATGGGGTGGAGCTTTCACTGATTGGATGAGGGTCTGTCAGGGTGGGCGGAGGCCACACTGATTGGATGGGGCCTACAATGATAGGGAGGGGCTAGCACGGATAGGGTAGAGCCTGTGAGGGGCAGGGCTGGTACTGATTGGATGGGGTCCATCGGGGTGGGCGGGGCTTGCCTTTGGCCATGTATTCAGTGACTATGTAGATGGGCTCCTCAGACACCACAGCATAGAGGGGCACCAGCTTGTCGTGCCGGAGCTTCTTCATGATCTGGGCCTCCTGTAGGAAGGCCTCGGGCGACATGGTGCCCGGTTTCAGCGTCTTGATAGCCACCTTGGTGGTGCCGTTCCAGGTGCCTGCAGGGAGCACACACTCCTACATCAGTAAGCAAAGATGCCGCAACTTGATAAAACGGGCGGCGGGAAAACAGCCGCGGTCCACCACCAGGCGCCATTCCCAAGGACAAAGCGTGACGGCGAGCAGGCCGGGACCCGTCCGCGTGCGTCAGAGGGGAGCGGCAGACCGCGGGCGTGCAGAGACTCGCGAGGGGACTCCTTACCCATCCAGACCTCTCCGAAGCAGCCCTGGCCCAGCTTCACCTCCAGCCGCAGCGACTCGCGCGGGATCTCCCAGGCGTCCTTGGCCAGGCCCTGCGTCTGCGGCTTCACCGTGGGGCACACGGCCGTCAGCCGGTAGCACAGCCCGTCGGCGTGCTCTGGGGAGGGGGGGGGCAGGGGTTAGCACGACGATGGGGAGGCCTCTGTCGATTAACCAAGGAAGCTGGGTCATTAGCTTCCGGCTCGGCACGGAACCGAGTTTTGTGCGTATCACAGAACATTTTTGCCTCTGCTCAACGAAACGATTTGGCCAAGGCGACCGACTCAGCACAATCCGACACTGTCAACTCTATTAGTCAGGCACCACACAGGCTGACGTGTGCTTTTGGGTCGCAGCTCTAGGAAAGCATGCAGAGCTGACCTGGAAGCTGCTTTGTGGAGGTGGGGGGGGGAGTAAAATGTGATAAGGGGGGTGTCCTAGGCCCAGATCTCTCACAGCTGATTGGCTATCACAGAGCACGTGACCAATGAGAGACACCAACTCTCTCCTGCGTCCCTCGAAAGCACAGCAGCTATAAAGGGATGGGGGGTGGGGTGGGGGCATCACGGTGTCTGACAGGGAGAGAGAGAATCAACAGGCAAATAACTGAGCTCAGGAGGCCTGCCAATCAGCTGGCATCCCATAAACAGAGGTGATGGAGAGTTCCAGGCCCACTGACGATCCCCCCCCCCATCAGGGCGCACTGTGAAAGCATCCCACCCCCAGAGCACGGCGGGGGTCCTTTGTGCTCAGATCAGGGGAGACGGGCCCTTTCAGGGAGGCTCAGGGGCCAAGAGCCACTTCACATCCGAGTTCAGCTGGGCTGGGGGCTCGACATGAAAAACAAACCTTAGCGTGTGGGAATAAACCAAAAGGAGACAGTGGGGGGGGGGGGGGGGGGGGG